CCTACTGTATAGCACATGGAACTCTGCTCAACGTTATGTGGCAGCCTAGATGGGAGGGGAGTTTGGGGGAGAATGGATACATGTATGGCTGAGTCCCTTTGCTGTTCACCTAAAACTAACACAACATTGTTTGTTAATCGGCTATAGCCCAATACAAAATAAAACATTTTTTAAAAAAGATGGTGGACTGGACCTACATATAATAACCTGGATAGAAACGAGAAACACAGCATGGAGGGAAAACATTAAGAGACACAGTGAGGTGTGTGGGACGAAACCATTTATATAAATTTTAATTATGGGGGTCCAAGGTAATAAGAGACACTTAAAACACATATAAACCAAAAGAATGTTCATTCAATACATGAGAATGATTTCCAGAGACTGAAAGAAGGGATGGAAAAGGGAATAAAAAACCCAAAGAGATGGTCACATTCTGCCCCAAAATGGTAAGTGGTATGAACTGAGGGGTATCATTATTAACTAAGTGCACCAACACTTCAAAGTAAAAATAAAGAGAATAACAAATAACTATCATCCATGATAATGTTGAAATGAACAAGAACAGCCTCAAGAGGATGTGGGGGAGTGGCCTGATAATAGCAAGCTGATCATCACAGACCAAAATCAGTGCAAACAAGCTGTATCTCTAAAAACAGATAATTGAGATTTAAAGATACAAAAAAGGGGGCTATTAATATGAAACATGTTAACAGTTATGCAAGTAAGATTTTAAGATGGTTTATAGCAGCAGAATGAGATACACATATAATCTCAAAAAGGACTGCAAAAGAATACATTAAAAGTATGGACAAAACCCAAGTGAATGATGACAAATTGCTGCTCTGATAACCAGTTTTCAAATCTGTTCAGATTCTTTCATTTAGAGGCTAATTGTGAAGGGAAAAGATGATAAGATTTATAAGCATAAATAAATAAGGGCTATGAATAAAGGGAATTCTTTTCATGGAAATTGTTATGACTATAGGTAAAATTATATATGGAATATAAAGACTTTACAAGGTGATAAAAGGAAAAGAATGACAGGTCTATGAATTTTTTTTAATTTAAATATGATTTCAGGTTTTATCTAATTTCTAATTAACAATCAGCAGCAGTTTGAAACACTCCAGCTTTTAATTTCTAAGTTTTTAACTGCTGCTGCTGCTAAGTCACTTCAGTCGTGTCCGACTCTGTGCGACCCCATAGACAGCAGCCCACCAGGCTCCCCCATCCCTGGGATTCTCCAGGCAAGAACACTGGAGTGGGTTGCCATTTCCTTCTCCAATGCATGAAAGTGAAAAGTGAAAGTGAATTCACTCAGTTGTGTCTGACTCTTAGAGACCCCATGGACTGCAGCCTACCAGGCTCCTCCGTCCATGGGATTTTCCAGGCAAGAGTACTGGAGTGGGGTGCCATTGCCTTCTCCGAAGTTTTAACTACCTGTAAATATTTCAGAAGATATTGATTTAAATGATGCTGAAATTATCTCTTATTTTATGTTTATTTTTGGCTATGCTGGGTCTGCATTGCCACGCGGACTTCTCTCTAGTCGTGACAAGCAGGGCTTCCTCTCTAGGTATGGTGTGCAGGCTTCGTTGTGGTGCAGAGCCCGTGTGGAATACGGGCTCTAGGGTGCATGGGCTTCAGCAGTTGCAGCACAAGGGTTCAGCAGTTGTGGTTCCTGGGCTCCAGAGCACGGGCTCAATAGTTGTGGTGCACAGGCTTTGGGATCTTCCCAGATCAGGGATTGAATCCAGGTTTCCTGCATTGGCAGGTGGATATTTTTACCACCGAGCCACCAAAATTCTCTTTTAATATCAGAATATTTTTGGGAAAATGAATGATCTTAGTCTCCATATTTTACAAAAAGCTTATGTAATACTGTTCAGTATTTTGTTTAATAATGTAAACTTTAGAAAAAAAATTTTTTTCAACACTCTCTACTCACTGGCTATTTAATTAGTTAATTAGTTATTAATACATGTCCCAATAAATACTCCTCTGTTTATTACCATCCTAAATCTCAAAGGGTTTTAGTAATGAATCCAATTATTATCAAAGAAGGCCAGAAGACATGAAGAATTACACACAAACATCGGTACATAGGTACTAGGACTTCCCCGTAGCTCAGATGGTAAAGAATCTGCCTGCAATACAGAAGACCCAAGTTCGATCCCTGGGTCAGAAAGATCCTCAGGAGAAGGGAATGGCTACCCACGCCAGTATTCCTGCCTGGAAAATCCCAGAGACAGAGGACCCTGGCAGGCTACAGTCAGTGGGTTCACAAAGAGTTAGACTTACATAAAATAACTTAAAAAATGAAGAAGCTGTTGATTATAAGACACATAAAGAAGCACAGTAACTTCAAAAATGTAATGAAATCCATAAGTTGGTGTCAGAGTTACTCTCAGATTATATGGCAGCTACTACGCCTTCCTGAGTGTGAGAAGCAGTAATTAATAACAGACTGTCATGTCACACCTCAGGAAAGTGAAAACACTCTGCCCTTAGGATGAAGTGAAATTTTCAAAGATAAAAATATTTCCACCTTGGTACTAGTTTGCAGTTCCTGGAGGAAATAAAGTGTTAAAGACTGCTAGACATACTTTTAATTCTTTCACAAGACTTGGGATGGTGATTCTATTGCAAGTTTTTTAAAAATCTATGGAGACTTTATTTAAAAGTTGAGTGTTTGATCTTGGATCCACGGATTTAGATTATTTGGGTTGAGTTGGGGCCCAGTAGAAATATGTCTATTGAAGAACACAGAATGAAGAATCCCACTGATCTGGAACCCATGGGCACCAACCAATCCTCCAGCCTTTATCTCATGTATCAAATGTAGATACCATAGAAATGCAATGTATGATAATTATCAGACTGAACTATACAACATTTGTGTGGTGTGCAAATGTTTAAATCTACATGCTTTACTGAATGCTATTTGTAACATGCTCATTCTGAATGCCTGGTGATTTTCTTTTCTGCCTGTACCATGAATTAGAAGATTCTAGTTGAGAATTCCCAGGGACGGGGGAGCCTGGTGGGCTGCTGTCTATGGGGTCACACAGAGTCGGACATGACTGAAGTGACTTGGCAGCAGCAGCAGTTGATATAAACATAGCAACCAAATATAAACAATGTTGACATCAAATGGTATCAGAATTTTCTTTCAATTCTTAGCTTACTACTTGGAAAGCAGATATTTAAAAATTCTTGATTCTGAGATCCAAAGTATGATCAAATATATAAGCTGATAGAGTGCCATGGGAGGGGACTACTTGGCAGGATTTTTGTCACTAAAGTTCTTAAATTTGGTTGAGCAACAGAATATTCAACTGGAATATCTTGGGATTGGTATAAACACGTGTATTTTAAACACTATCTGGGTAATTCATACAAAAAGATTTGAAGACCATCAATAAAGTAAATTATTGGGAGTATCAGTCAGACTATAAAATCAGACTGAAAAGCTTGTTTAACTCTACATTACATTACAGAATTTCAGGAGCTTAAAGACTTGACTAAATCACAGAACTAGAAAACTAAAGACCAATAACTTTCATAAGCACTGACACAAAAGTCCTTAACAAAATATTTGCAAAATGCATACAGCAAAACATAATGTGAATTATTCACCATAATCAAGCAGGATTTAGCCCAAGAATACAAGTTTGTTTTAACATATAAAGATGAGTTAATATAATACATTATAATAGAATGAAGGACAAAAATCACATTATCATGTCAAGACATTTAGAAAAAGCATTCAACAAAACCCAGACTCCATTTATGACAAAAACTCTCAACAAACTAAGACTGGAAGAAGCAGGTCTTAGAATGGGAAAGCACCCCAGATCACTAGAAGGTAGTGCTTTGAAAATTTAAAAACTGCTTCTTCCTAAAGTTAAATAATAATATTTTAAAACTCAATAATATTCAAATATCAGAAACTTAAGGAGAAGATAACTCTTTAAATTGTTCCAATTCTTTAACAGTTATTAGGAAGACTGCAGTTTATGAAATTCATTATCCAGATGCTTAAGTCTTTCAAAAGGCATTAAAAGGATGCCAAAGAACCACTTAGGTACTTATCCTCTGGCCTTATATATTTCTCTATTGCTTAAATTCATATGACGCAGTGGAAAACCTGGTAACTATACAATTGCCCCAGAGAGAGCAAATTATACTATAGCAAATACTCTGTCCCGTTTTCCATATGCCACACCTTCCTCATCCACCATCTACAATCAATCTCCCCCCTCACATCACCCATTCTCCATAGGGCTAACCCTGCTCAGTAGAGGAAGGAGACAGGGACAAAGTCTTTATATTTTATATCACATACTCACCCACACAGATGGCCATGGTCACTTAAAGTATGTCCTTCTTTTGAAAGGTCACCAACCAATAGACTGAACTACTGGGAGATCTTATAGCCATGTTGTTTAAACCTGTCTCTCTAGCTCTCAAGTATTTCCCTAATACCCACTGTGAACTTTATTTTCAACATTTTCTATGGGAGAAGAAGGTCCTTCACTCCCATTCCTTACCAAGTAATCACAAGACTTCAAGAAAATGAAGATTAAAAAACAGGAGTTCTCTCTCCTCCAAATTTCAAAACCATTACCACTCTTACCTTGGAGGAGAACTACCCAGATAGGAGGCATTACACCGGTAAACTGAGGAGATGCAGTTAGTCTTAGGGAAAGGCAAACAGTCTCGGTCCTTGCTTTACTCATTTATGTTGGTGGCTGTGACTGTGTTTGTACCACGTAGCGGCGCTGAGTAGTGTCAGAAACCATATGGCTCACAAAGCTTAAAATACTGACTATCTGGCCCTTTAAAGAAAATGTTTACAGCCTTAATGATCAAGGGAAAGGAGCATTAGTGATGCTACTGGGGGGTTATTTCAAACTACCTACTAGAAGTTTCACACAAGCATAAACAATGATATCGCCCACCACAGTACCCCAAAATAGGAAGTCGGTCTGCACCTCAGTTCCAATGAACGTAGGACGAATATACAGACTCGCAGATGTTGAGTAGGGGACCCACTCCTCATCCAGTTTCACAAGCTGCCGAATACACTCTAAAAGCTCTTTCTTGTCAAACGCCTGAAGGAATGAAAAACACAATGAATAATGCAACGTTTTTCCACTGCAGCAGTAAGAAATGATCCTCAAGAGAGCTTTGACGGTTAAAAAAGTACTAAGAAGCAAATCCCTGGAGGTCCAGTGGTTAGGACTTGGTGCTTTCACTGCAGTAACCCAGGTTCAATCCCTGGTCAGGGAACTAAGATCATGCAAAGCCACATAGTATGGGCAAAAAAAAAAAAGTACCAAATAAGTAAGCAAATAAATAAATAAAAATTTATAACTAATAATAATAAAACCAAGCAACTTTTTCTGTGACTTTTCCCCCTCAAATTGTGGTGGAATGATAGGTTAGTCACATAAGGAAGATAAATAAGTGGTTCCCTACCTCTTACCAAACTCAAATACCAACTGTAGTTGATGACGTACTTAAATGTGAGAAAACATTAAGATTTCTATTAAAAAAAAATACAAAGCATCAGTGTCACCTTAAAGCAGAATTCTTAAATAAAAGACATAAAGCATAAATCATTAAGGGAAAAAAATGGACAAAATTTGACTATTTAAAACTTAAGGCCATCCAAGCATGAAAATTATTTGACCTAAAAACAAAACTAATCAGTTGTAAAGCAAAATACAACATGCTTTTTATTAAGTATGTAACTGAAGTGACTATAATCCAGTATTGACCCCATCAAATGGCGTTAAGTTGCCAGAAAGATACTATGGCCTGGGATATAGGTGATGGGTAGATTTTATTAAAATAAGAGTTATGTGTGAATATCTTTAATTCATTTGATTAGGTTTCTAAATCTTCAGTCTAATAAAGTTGAAATGTCTTAGAATATTAGTTTTAATAGAGCTGAACAGTTATGTTCAAAATGTGTTAAAAAAGAAAGCATGCTTATATTCAGATAAAGGGCATTTATATTTTTCAGTTAAGCCTCAGACTTAAGTAAATGTTAAGGGCTTATCTTCCCTCATTGTCATTAATATTAATGAACTCTTGGATTAAATTCAGTAATACATTTAATGTAATGCTTAATAGTCAAAATCAGGACTTCAAATATTTGATGTTTTTTATTCCTTCCAATATAGAATTCCAGTATTTAATTCCTATGTGGAAAAACTGAATTGGTATAAAAAATTAATGACATATGAAGAATTCTTTGCACCTTTCCCAAGTGTATTTAAACAACATAAAACTTTTAAATAACAGCAGTGGTCCCAACATTTAAAAAAAACAAACTTAAGACCGTCTATTCTTCAAAAGATAAAAAAAGGGACACACTGGGTCAAGTTTTTTGGTAGTGTAACCAACAAAGGACAGTAACTGGAAAATGTTAAGATAACCTGAAAATCAGTACGAGACAAATGAAACAATAAGAAAATGGGCGAAAGCAAAGAGTAATTTATTTCACGAAGTTGAAAAAGGGTTTTATGTACTAAATAGGTGATAGCTTGTAAAATAAGTAGCTTCTACTTACTTGGCAGGGCATACTTCTGAAAGAAACATACTTTCAGAGAGATGGGATGGGTTATTCAAGGTAGACATGAGTCAGAAACACACATGAATAGAGTTCATGAATAGAGTTCAGGGTTTGGCTACTGAAGTACTAACTTGTAATAGCAATCACAGCGTAGCAGCGTTACAGAAATCAGGACTGCCAATCATCTAGGACATCCAATCTCCCTGTGTCAAGTACAGGGTTTCTGTTACTCCTGTCTAGAGGTAAGATTTAGTGGCAAGAACTTGACTAGGGATTTAAAAACTTACATCCAAGTTCTTACCCTGTCCCTTTATTCTGTGTGAGCTCAGGCAAGTCATCTCACCTCTCTGGGCTTAAGCTTTTTACCGTCTGAGTCACCACGGATTTCTGGGCTTAAGCTTTTTAATCTGTAAAAAGGTGCTGCTAAAATTTACAAGGCATACCTTCTCGACAGTGGCTCACTGCTATGATTAAAAATGCAAAGGATGTAAAACCACATAATGCAGTTTGTGGCAGAGTTGATGTCCAATAAATGTTACTTCCCTTTTCTTCTGTCCCCATTTTAAAAGGATTTCCCAGTGGTTTGTCTGTAACGGGTAAAGAGTAGAACTAGGACTAAATCAAAAGAAATTACCTGAACGTTTCTTCTGCTACTATAATACTATGGCCTCTGAAGAAAGTGGGTGAAGCATGGGTTCCAAAAGGAAGAAGAAGGAAGAGCTTCCCTGGTGGTCCAGTGATTAAGAATCCACCTTCCAATGCAGGAGACGTGGGTTCAATCCCTGGTAGGGGTACTAAGATCCCACACACCGTGGGGCAACTAAGCCTGCACGCCACAACGAAGAATCCGCACAGCCAAAATAAAATAAAAAGGAAGGAGAAGAGTCTGGCTGAAAGAGTCATCACCTGGGTTTCTTCAGGTGAAGGTCAGGGACAAATGAAATACCTCAATGGAGAAAAGACTTCTTTCAGTTTAGAAAGGCAGCCTGTTCAAGTCTCGGGGAATGAAAGTAATCTAAGTTACCTCCTACCTAGGCATGAACCTTAGGGTCTTCCAACCCACCTCAGAATGAATTCTGCTGCATAACAAACAATGGTACAGTCAGGACCCAGTGGCTATGAGAAAACAGTTTTACATTCTTTTTTTAAAAAAAGTTAATAAAACTTGGGGTAAAATATCAAAACAACTAATTAAATCACTGTATACTTATTAGTAGTTTATCTTAAGCAATTAGGGAAAACCCTCCTTAATTATCTGCGCAGTACACCATATTTCATACTACAATTTCATATAGTCTTTAAATTTTATTATTTCAGTTTGAAGCATATTTTTCTTCCTTATCCTGTTATGTCCCACATACACATTAAATCCTCACAGACACTCACAAACAAAGAAATAGACTGGAATTGCCAGATGGTTCCGTCCTTGCCTTTTTACCTCTCTGATTAAAAAACCAACCAGAAATAACTTCAGTGCTCATACGGTTTATAGTAAATACTGACCTAAATACTCAGTAATGTTTCATTTGGTGGAATTCAGTGACCCATTACAAGAGAAATTCCCAAATTTACATACCGGCAGAGTGGCCCTCATAGCAGATCGGTACATCCTATCCATGTTGAGGTTTGGCCGAAACAGACGGATTTTATTATCTACTCCCCGAAATGCCTTCAATCCTTCAAATAACTGAAGATAAAAGAAAAATATTTGTTAGAAGGTAAATGAATGAAGACAATCCCCATGTTCTGAAGACTGACTTTTCTATGGCTCTTTATCACCTTCACCATGTAAAGCTATTGATTGACACAGACCCTAAATCTAGAAAAGCCAGACAGACTAGTTTTAGTCACGCGGATAAAAAGGAAGTCCCTTTATCACCAAGATCTGGAGGGAATTCAGACTACAGAGCTGGTTGGTTAAATAACACATCAGTAGAGGCTGGAAGAAAACATGTCTACACAACGTGGACTGACTGCCTACAAAAAAACAGAAATGGAATCAAAGACCCCACAGTACCCAGCCCCCAATCCATCCCAAAACACCCATGGATCTTTTCACTTTATCCGGCTCCTATGACCTCTGAAGAGTGGATGTCTAGATGTGACTGGAGGTGGGTCAGCCTCCCAAATCACAGAAATCAAGCAGCTCAAGACTCTTGTTAGGGCAACGCCACTTTCTTAGGGTGAGGCCACAAAAAACATGAAAAGACTGCAGTCAGTGCATATTGCTGAATATATAGAAAAGAGGAAAAATTGAACATTTTAGTAGGAATTTTTTGTGTGTGATAAACTATTTGAGAATCTAAAAAGGATGAATGTATGTATATGTATAGCTGAATCATGATGTTGTAGACCAAAGTCTAACACCACATTGTAAATCAACTATACTACAATAAAATTTTTTTTAAAAAGGGAAATTTCTACCACAGGTTCTCTAAGTGATTGATACAACAAACAGGTTAAAACAAGGTAAAGATATGGATGATTTGAACAACAGGAACAACAAACTAACCTAGTGGACACAAGGCCCTGCACATACCACCTGCAGAAGGCATGATCTTTGCACATGTTTAAGATAAGCTAGATATCAAAAGCAAAAATATAACCATAAGATATACACATTTTGGAAAAAAAGAAATTCATTACTTAATATTAAGTGTGAGTTAAAGAAGAAAAATAATGGAAATTAGAAAACATGCTAAGCTGAATGAGAATGAAAAATAGAGCCTTCAGATGCTTAGAGCCTCAAAGCTTACCAGAGAAAAGAACTACAAATTCTGGAGCACAATTAAAAAGCACAAAATGAGATGTTTTGTTGAAATGCAAATATGTGGCTAATTTATTAACTGTAATAAGACTAGAGCTTTGGTTAAAAGATATGGTTGTCAGATTAATTCAGCTGGTAACAACTGAAACAAAAAAGCAATGTCATATAAACACTTTTAAAAATGAAGCTGGTGAGGTTATATTGCTAAATATATAACAAAACAAACTTTCAGACAAGAAGCACTGCTGGAAATAAACAAGGTAAGTAACTTTATAAGGTTCAATTTATTTCAGTTTAAAAACTGTATACATTTGATATAGGTTCAAATTTACATAAAGGTTATATGATAATGTCATTGAATAATGCATATGCAAAATATACAAAGGATAATGGTCTAACTAAGCTGGATTTATCCCAAGAATAGACATTGGTTTAACATTAGAAAATATATGAAATTCATATATTATATTATATGATTATATTAATAGCTTATGTGAAAAAAACTATATATCATCTCACTGATATAATAAATGCGTCTGATAAAACTGAACATTCATTTATGACTTAAAAATAAAATTTCCTCAATAACTAAGGAAAAATATAATCTTCCTTAAGTGATAAAGGCTTTCTTCAATAAATTGGCAACAAATATATTCAAAATGGCAATTTTTTAGAAAGTATTGTTGATTTACAATGCATTAGTTTTAGATATGCAGCAAAGTGATTCAGTTTTATATATACATATATATATATATTCTTGTTCAGACTCTTCCATTATAGGTTATCACAAGATATTGAATATAGTTTCCTGTCCTATATAGTAGGTCCTTGTTGTTTATCTATTAAAGTGATAAAATTTAAAGCTTTTCTTTCAGATTGAGGCCATCACACATTGACTGTTGTAACTACAAATACTTTAAATCAATACTGTATTACCAATAAAATAAAGCAAGGGTCATGAAATAACTCTAGGGGATCTCTCTGACCCAGGTATCAAACCCACATGTCTTATGTCTCCTGCATTGGCAGGAGGGTTCTTTACCACTAGCACCACCTGAGAAACCCTGAAATAGAAGTATAAAGTTAGGAGAAGAAAAAAAACTGTCATAGATCTTGAGACACAGAAAAGATTAAATGTAGAAAATCCAGAAAAACTGACATAATCTTTTGAAATTACCTGTTTAGGCAAGGTAACCAGATAAGAAACTATATTCCCATGTAACAGCAGCAGTTAAAAAATAAAAACACCACTTAAGGTAGAATTAAAACCAATTCCTAGGTAGGGAAAATGTAACATAAGTGAATGACATAAGGAAAATATAAAACTTACCAAGTCATTAAAGACCTAACTAAAGCAGAAAGCAATCTCATAGTCATAGACCGAAAGATTCAATATTATAAAGACTGCACTAATGTACAGTGCAGGTAAGGCTGCTCAGTGTTATGTGGCAACCTAAATGGGAGGAGAGTTCAAGGGAGAACGGATATATATAGGGAGAGGGCTGAGTCTTCAGTTGCCCACTTGAAACTATCTCAATATTGGTAATCGACTATAATCAAAATCAAAAGTTTAAAAAAATAAAATGCTTTAGGATTAAAATACATATACATATAAAGATGCCGATTCTCCCACAACTGACTCATAAAATGTAATGCAATCCAAATGAAAATCATGTCAGGACATTTATTTTTCTTGCAACAAACTGAATCACAAAAATTTGACTGACATGATAAACTGAATCTAAGTTATAAGAAAAAGCAAAAGAACAAGAAATATGCAAGGCACTCTTGAAGAGTGAAACAGAAGGACTTGTCCTAGTAGACATTAAGACTCCTTATTAAAAAAAAAAAAAAAAGACTCCTTATAGTGATTTGGAGATAAAGACAGTGTGGCTTTTGCCCAGATAGACAAGCAAAACAATGAAACAAAAGAGATCCAGATAGACAAGACAATGGAAGACAAATGGAGATCTAGAAGCAGAACTTCACGTACAGGCTAAGATGTGCTCTGATGTATCGGAAGGAAAAAAGTCTTCTTTAATGGTGCTGGGACAATTGGGTATCCATAGGGAAACAAAACAAACAAAAAGTGAAACAGGTCACCAGTCCAGTTTGGATGCATGAGACAAGTGCTCGGGGCTGGTGCACTGGGATGACCCAGAGGGATGGGATGGGGAGGGAGGCGGGAGGGGGGATCAGGATGGGGAACACATGTAAATCCATGGCTGATTCATGACAATGTATGGCAAAAACCACTACAATATTGTAAAGTAATTAGCCTCCAACTAATAAAAATAAATGAACAAAATAAAAAATAAAAAAAAAGAAAAATTGGACCCCTACTTCATACAAAAATCAACTTCTGAAATTAAAGACCTAACTATCACAGATAAAATAAATAATACAGGAAGATGTCTTCATAATCTAGGAGTAGAAAAAGACTCTTTAAACAAAACACAAAACCAAACCTAAAGCAAAGATTGATGAATTCAACTTTTAAAAATTGAAATGTGGAGTTCCCTGGTGGCCTAGTGGTTAGAATTCTGGGGTTTCACTGCCTCGGCCTGGGTTCAATCCCTGATTGGGAAACTAATAATCCACAAATTGCATGGCATAGCCCGCACCTCTCCAAAAAGTGAAATTTATTTCTTGTCATCAAAAATTTATGGGGAGAATAAAAAGTCAGAGTGTGGAAGAAGATATTTAAAATACATATAAATGACATAGGACCCATACTCAAAATATATAAAGTACTTCTACAAATCAAAAAGACAACACAATAGAGTGAGCAAAAGATGGAAATAAGCAGGCACCTCAAATAAAATGAAATCCAATTGACAAACATTTGAAAATGTGATCAACCTCTTCAGAAGTGGCAATTAATATCACAATAACATGCAATTTTATTAATAAGCTAAAAATTTAAAGTCAGGCTATAAGAACTGGCAAAGTTGATGAGTTGTGATTGAACGTATTTGCTAATTCATGGCTAGTGGGTATAAAAAAATGGTAAAATCACTATGGAAAAGTTTCTCTTTTCTCATAAAATTTAAGATCTATTCAATACCAGCAGCACATTCCTAGATATACCCTCAAGTAGTATTTCTCAAAGTTTTTTGGTATCAGGTGCCTTCACACCCTTAAAAATTATAAAGATCTCAAAGAGCTTTTATTTTAAAAGTATTCTATCAATATTTATCATAGCCATAGTGAGAAACTGTATTTATTAACAATAATAGACTATGACATTAAAATATTTTCATTCACATTATCTATATTTTCCAAGATGACTAATATTAAATGTGGTCCTGTTTTACATTATTGCCAATCTTTAACATTTGGCTTAACAAAAGACAACTGGATTCTCCTATCTGCTTCTGCATTCAGTCTCTTGCAATAAAAATTTTGGTTGAAGTACACAAAGAAAATCCAGTCTCATACTGATATACAGTTGAGGAAGAAAGTACTTTTGATAACTTTTTCAGATAATCGTGGCTATTAATCTCCGATACTCCTCTAAAACTTGACAACTGCTGGTCCCTTACAGCTTAGCTGCACCGCAGAATCTGAAAGCCCATCAATGAGGTTTTTATATTCCGTTAATTTCTTAAAAGCCAATAGTCTCAGTCAGGGTTCCACTGAGAAGAAACAGAACCAGGAGAAATATATACATTTACAGATCTATTGGAAGAAAGTGCCCAAAGCATCTGTGGAGACTGGCTAAGCAAAGTCCAAAATCTGCAGGATAAGCACCGAAAAACAGAAGGTCACAAGCAGGCTGGACCAGGAGATGTGCGCTGCAGCCCATCCCCAACTGACTCAGGAAGGGAGAGGCAGAGCAAGAGAGTGAGTGCATGTGAGCAGCCAGACCTACATAGATGTCCTGAGGTCAGGCTCACCCACAGTAATCTCCCTCTGGATAACTTCAAATCAACCAATCAGGGACTTTAACCACATCTGCAAAATTCCTTCAAACTCCACCCAGATTAGTGTGGATTGAACTAGAAGAAGGCACACACAAAATGATCACGGCCTCCCAAAGTCCTCCAAGGCTCACAAGAGGATGTCCTTGCAGTCCATCCCCAAAGGGAAATGAAAAATGGAATTTTAGGGACCTCAGTTTACATAACCAAACTGACACATCAAAAGTCCTATCTTGCACTTGAATTTTTTTTTTTCCTTTTAAAATGTACTTCAGGGATTTTTGGTTTTTATTTGTTTATTTTTTAATTTTATGGCTGCAGCAAGCAGGATTCAGTTCGCTGACCAGGAATCGAACCTGTGCCCACTGCAGTGGAAGCATGGAGTCTTAACCACTGGGCTACCAGGGAAATCCTGCACTTTGAATGAATTTTACTCATACATAAATTTGTAATATCATGGAACACTCATTTGGAAAAATACTGGTTGCCTGAGTTACACAGATCTTTCAAAAGGTAACTCCTTTTAAAACCACCAATATCATTAAAACATTGGTAACCACCAATATAATACAAAATAAGACCGCTTTAACAGGAGGAACGGGTGGTGGATACAAATTTTCCAAAAATTCCAATTTTCACTTGAGAGCTAGAATTTTATCACTGCCAATAAATATAGTCCATTGTTTTACTTGAAGTGACAGGCTTATTTCATTCATTTTCGAAAAAACACACAGAAGTTTGAACAACTTTGTTCTTTCCAGGAACAATGGCGCCAGGTAGAGAAAGTAGCCAGTTGAGTTCACAACACAAAAACAATCATGCGGTTGGCTTTTCCTTGAGGCAACCATAGCATTTCAGAACAACAGAGTGCTTCATGTGAAATGGATGTTTTCTCACATGGAATAAAATGTTTATGTAAGAGTCAAGATTTAATAAACTCAATCATTATTACGCTTCATTGAGAACATTAAGTAAAGCTGACATTCTTTTTATACTGCAATGCATGGCAATAAACAATATAATGACTAACAGAGGTTGGGTGACAAATCTGGTACAAATGTCAACACAATGAGGAAGAAAAATAATACCTTGGTATTACTGTGAAGAGTTTTACCTTAGGCAATCTCTTCAAAGGGGAGCCTAGGGGGTCTATGGACCACACTTGGAGAACTGCTGACTTAAAGAAACATGTAAACAAATATACCAGCATACTATTTTCAAGAATGTTCAAAGAAGGAAACTAAACAAGTGCCAAGTCAACAAGAGACTGAATATATTCACATAATATAACACTACTGCTACAAGGAACACATGATGCGGTAACTACCGCCCTGAGACTCAGATAACACAGGTCTCTGCCCTGAGTTTCACACTTTCGAGGGCCTCTCACCTCCATCTTCCCCCAGTTGTGACCTCCTTGGAGCAAGAAGTTGACTGGACCCTTTTCCAGACAGACTCCAAATATTCAGTTCTAGGGATTCCCTGAATTCCCTGCCCAAATGGCCCTGATTCTATTTTCAGGGTCTGAATGGGCCTCCATAGGTTCATCCTCTTAAAAACAGCCCTGATTCTATTTTCAGGGTCTGAATGGGCCTCCATAGGTTCATCCTCTTAAAAACAGGGTGCTTGCATCTAAGTCCAAGGGATGGCCAAGGGTCATCTGTTTGCAGGTGGAGTGGGCATCTATGTGCATATGCAAAAGGCCCCATGTGGTACAGGATAAGCCAGGATTGAAATAGACAGACAGGGTGGACTATGGGATGTCTCTGTTTTTACTTTTGTCCCAGACCCCACAGACATTAGGATTGGTCCTGGATGGATAGATCTCACATAATATTGAACTCAAATAATAGATATGTGTGCATGTGCACACACACACAATATATATGTTTATATAATTCCACTTACACAAAGTTCAAAAAGAGGCAAAACTGTAGTGTTAGAGGTACACATAATCCAAGTGAAAAGCAAAGAAAAATCATCATAAAAGTAAGAATAACACGTGCCAGAAAATAAAGGGTTTATGACATAGAAGGAGCACAAAGAAGGCTTCTGGGATATTCAAGCTGTCCATTTCCTTGCCTGGATGGTAGCTATTTGGGCACTCCTTTATAAGAATTCATTAAATAGTATGCTGTCCACTTTTTCAAATTATGTGTTATGTCACTAAATATTTATCTCAACCCGAAAATGAAGTACATGTTGTAAAATTTCATTTTCTTTCATCCAGATTCCCTACTCACACTTCCATTTCTCTCCTTTACTATGTGAAAGTGTCACTGTTTATGGTTGGGAAGATCCACTGGAGAAGAGATAGGCTACCCACTCCAGTATTCTTGAGCTTCCCTTGTCGGTCAACTGATAAAGAATCCGCCTGCAATGTGGGAAACCTGGGTTTGACCCATGGGTTGGGAAGATCCCCGGGAGAAGGGGAAGGTACTCACTCTAGTATTCTGGCCTAGAGAATTCACTGTATAGTCCATGGGGTTGCAAAGAGTCAGAAATGACTGAGCAACTTTCATTTTCACTTTTTTTAATCAAAAAATATGTTTGAATCAAGAAAACCACATGTAGTTTTAGCTCTAAAAACAAAAAAAAAAATGGGGCTGATAAGTGGAGGAGAAAGATGTCCAAGGAGATGATATGCATGTTGATTTGTGGGTCAAAATAATATGACTCTAGACAGGATCTGAACGCAGGATGTTTAACTCCAGAATCTGAATGATAAACTACATTTTTCTCACTTAAAACAATTAGAAGAGCTGACCCATATAAGGTTCCCAGTAGAGGGTATATTGCAGGATTTCAATAAACAAATATAGTTATTTTATCAATATCAATATGAATATTTACTGTTTCCATCTTTCAGCCCCTTAAATAGACCGTTGCTTGATTCTTGAATCCCAATATTCTAGGAAAGATACCCAAAACATTAAAAATGAGTGCAGCAGTCTGCAATGGTCTCTGTACATGGATTTCCCAGACAAGAATACTGGAGTGGGTTGCCATTTCCTTCTCCAGGGGATCTTACCTACTCAGGGATCGAACCTGGGTCTCCTATATTGCAGGCAGATTCTTTACCACTGAGCCACCAGGGAAGCCACACAGGGAACAGGGAGTATATTGTATATCTGGCTAAGTGTGAATCCTAAGAAGGACCACAGAAAGCATCTTCTGTTTAATATTTAATGCTTATAATTATTCCATTCATGCTTGAAGGCTGATATTTAATTAAATGTCCCTTAACATGCATAACAAGTTATTGCTGTCATAAAACCATGCAGTTAGCATTAAAATATGATACTATACCTAATGATCCATTCTCAATCATTAGAAGATCTAAGAGCAGTGACTTAGTGAGCTATTAACAGTACAGGCTTTTTGATGGCTAATTTTCTTGCCAACTGTCCTTCCCATTTGCTCCAAATAATTTTCTGATAATATTATAAGTCAATGTTAGAAGTTTCATGTGCAAAACATTATATTTCTATTCTCTACACCCTAACCAATTGACATTTTAAAAATTCAAGATTATCTGAAAAATTAGTTAAGACTCATCTTCAATCCAACTGTTTATAGATACTTATGATTGCCTCTAGTTAATATGGTAAAGCCCACACTGCCCTAGAGCTCTTTGAGCAGGGGAAGCTACTTAGTAACCACAGAGAAGACCAATATGTCACCATCATTAATTTCCAAGTACTTACTTCCACAGCATAGTGGAAAGCTGATGAACCCGGATGCAATGAGAGGTTTTGAAGAGGTTTGATGCATGGTTTCTCCCATCCAAGCTCCAAGGACCACTCCACTGTTAGCATATGATCCGTAAAAACCGTTCCAAAAACCAGAGTACTGGGGTCTGGTTTTTCCTTTAAAACGGTGGCTCGTGTGATTATTAGATCTTCAGCCTGGGGAAAAAAGTCAGCACCATTAAAGAAAAGTAACTGAACATCCACTAGAAAGAGGAAGCAGAGAGTAAAAAGAATTTATTTAAGTCACTGGCCATTAAAAAGTGAAATCATTTGACGTTTAAGTGTTGGCAACTAACTCAGAAACTTAACAACACTGGTGAGCCAAGCAAAACCATGCCTCCATTCAGAATCTGTTGTTTCAAATCTCTACAAAGTAGGGAATTCCCTGGCAGTGCAGAGGTTAGGTTGGGAGCTAAGATCCCAGAAGCTGCAAGGTGCAACCAAAAAAAAAAAAAGACAATTCTTTGCAATGTATACTACCAAACAAATATCAGAACTAAAATTTTTCAGCGACGTTTAAAAACTGGGATGAAATAGTAGATGGAGTGAAATCATCCTAAAAGAAGAACATACTCTTCTTCACTTCCATCATCAGACCTGTGTAGAACATTCTGGAAAGAAGACAGGCAGGTCTCAGAATCAAAACAGCAGCATTCACAATGACTTACTAAACTAAAAAGAATGTCACTAAGAACGGAACCTCTTGGGATGGTTATACTCCAGCTCCCCCAAAGAATTCTTGGCAGCAGCTTCCAAAACCCTCTGGGTACATGGTAGGACACAGGCAGCAGAGGTGAAGCAAATGTTTTCCTCGTTGAAAACAGAAATGGAGATTGAACACTAAGATATAAATCCTCTATTCTGTGTTGAGGAAACAGTGAACAAAGGACCCCTTATGCAAAGAAAGATAAATAAGAGTAATAGGAAACAACTTCACACAGCCCCGTCGCACCAGCTCTCCACAGCCGGCTTGCCCATTACAAATGACCACCACACAAGCATCCAGAACCCAGACAATAGCATCACTAACTTTACCATAACTGTGGAACAGCTGACAGAAACCATAGGGGAAGGAGCACTCAGACGACTTAAGCACAAGATGAACCAAGGACAAGTTCAGGCTGTGATCAGGCTGTTAGGAAGGTCAGACTCCATTTCTTTCAATACACAAAGTCGTCATTTCGCCCCCCACAAAGCAAATACAGAACTTCAGAACTTCACTTTGGATCATCACCTCTTCTCATTATTCTTTGAATGACCTAGCTACATCTGGTTAATTCACTGCTTTGCAGCCACCTTTGTAGTTTGATATATTATGAATAATAAAAAATCAGTTAAGTTTAGAGTAATATTTAGGTCCAAAATGTTATTTATTGTAAAACAATTAGAAAGCTTCCATTACAAAGAAGCATAAAGCATAAAGGACAGCATGTGTACGTGCTAAATCGCTTCAGCGAGTCGACTCTTTGTAACCCTCTGGACTGTAGCCTGCCAGGCAGTCTCATTCACTTCCATAGCTTCAGTTATCACCTGTGGTGGTGGTGGTTTGGTCGCTAAGTCGTGTCTGACTCTTGAGACTTCATGGACTGTAGCCTGCCAGTCTCCTCTGTCCGTGGGATTCTCCAGGCAAGAATACTAGAGTGGGTTGCCATGCCCTCCCTCCAGGGGATCTTTCTGGCTCAGGGATCGAACCCGTGTCTTCTTTACCACTCCAACATATGTATACCTATGGCTAATTCATGTTGATATATGGCAGAAATCAAACCAATATGTAAACCAATCATCCTTCAATTAAAAAGAAATTTAGAAAAAAAAAAGAAGTTTGCCAGTCCATTGAGACTGTTTAGATAAGAACTCTAGCTAGAGTACTTGCAGTTAAATGTTCAGCCCCAGCATAGTGCCTGGCACACACAACAGTAAAGGTTTTCTTAGATGCTGAAAATAACATTTGGTTGATTTCAGCTGCACTCCATAATGAATGACAGACTCATTCCCAGAAGATGGCCAGGATTTAAAGTGAATGAAATCCTAACATACACTTTTTATTACATGAATGGTTTAACAGTATTCTTGTACAATGAAGCACTTGTGCTTTTGCTTTGGTTAGCTGTTTTTTTTTTTTAGCAGCTAGGGGGATCCTGGGCTAAGAAATATCTGGAACTATAGCAATACAAGAAGACAAACTCAATGCAAATTTTCACTTATTAACACCATTAACAAAAGTTTCTTAATAACAGGGGAGAGTAGTAAGATACACAACAAAAACAGAAAGATGAAAGTAGATGAAAATGGGGTGGAGATACTGTGAGTAGAAGGGGTGAGTTTTTAATCCGTGATTTCAGGATACATCTTAAACACTGCAAAGGCAACAGACATCGGCTCTTTCTTTTTTTCGAAGACAAAACCAATGATTCGCATGGTTCTTCAAAAGTAAAATGACTAAGGAAAAATTCTAAATTGTGTGGTTTTAATAAAGCAATTTAATTTTTTAAAAAAGTAAAATGAAGTTCGACTTCCTATCTGCTATTTCTAATATTAGGTAGTCAATTCTACCATTAGTTAATAATCAACAAGAAGCCAATCACACAGGGTCTTTCTACCTTTTGGGATTTCTAGGTTTTCCAGTAACCCTACCTGCCATGAAACCAACAGGCAATGGAATATATACAACTTTTTTCCAACAAACTACAATGCAGGAGACCAAGTTTGATTCCTGGTCAGAATGATCCCCTGGAGAAGGGAATGGCTACCCACTCCAGTATTCTTGCCTGGAGAATTCCATGAATAGAGGAGCTTGGCGGGCTATAGTCCATCAGAAAAGAGTTGGACAAGACTGGGCAACTAACACTCCCATTAGTATTTCAACAACAATCAGCATAGAAACTTTTAAAAACAAGACTATGGCTTTGCCACATATCAAACTGTAGGGTGATTTCTTTTCCTTCCCTTACTCTTGTTTCTTCCTTATCTGCTTTATTATTCTTAGTATTTTGCCTTTTTATTCACTCAGTGAGCACTGCACTAAGCAAGCACAGGAGATACCAACAGGCAAGGGTTCAGTCTTCCTTCTCTGCCACACTCGCTGCCAGTCAAGGACAAGTGGTAGCCTCTGTGAGCAAGTGTTACTCATTCAGTTACCAAGGTTGTTACCCAAAATCATCCCCCTGCCCCTCTGTTAAACAGAAACCAACAGAAACTTATCTACGTTTCAGGAGGAAGCTACAAAGAGGAAAAAAGCAGAACTGGTTAAAACTAACTAGGACCAAGATGGTAGAAGATTTGACTTCCACTAGACCTTGGGCCTCACTGTGCACACATTGTAATACATTAGCTAAATGACATGTAGCGCCATGACAGCTGACAGTTGCCATGACAACAGCCAGAAGAGCCACATACGGGAACTGGAAAGCAGAGCTGCATCAGTTCTGGGTCCAAACCACACTCCTATTCTCAGAAAATGCATGGATGTTATAATTCCCACCCTTTCCAGTTTCCTCCCTTATACTTCAATCCTCTTATACATTTGGTGTCTTTGCCTGATTGGGGTTGAAAAGTTGATCTGTGAGGGTTCCCATGTCACCACGGAATAAAGCTTGTGCTGCTCCAGGCTCAGCTTCAGTTTTGTTACTGGCTGCACAAATTTGACCAGAAAAAGAACCTCCCTGGCAGACACAGGGGTCTTGGCCCAGAGTAGAACCCTAACATAGGTCCATTCAACCAATTCAGTACCAAGTTAACCTAACAATTTTTGAGCTACTATGTACCTGTATTGAGCCAGGCACAAAGAAACTCAGGGAATGAAGTAAGTCCTCTTCTCTTAGTGAGGGGAAAAACAGTATAAAGAATAAGTGATATGGGCCAGGGGGATGTGCCAGTCTCGATAGGAGGGGGTTTGGGGGAGAACAGATACATGTATATGTATGGCTGAGTCCTGCTATTCACCTGAAACTATCACAGTACTGTTAATTGGCTATAATCAAACACAAAATGTTTTTGGTATTAAAAAAATTAAACTAAACTAAAAAAAAAGATTTTTAACATTAAAAAAAAAAAGAAGGCAGGCTTATTATGCTAATAGATAACATACCTGGAAAATTCAGAGCTGGCATAATTACCTTGTGATGTTTTTCTACTGTTTTTGTAAGATTCCTTCACAAATGGCACTTTCCCCCCTCATTATAAATGCAGTGTGTGTTACTTGTCACATATTTGAAAAAGACTAAAGAATTATAAAGAAAAAAAAAATAAAATCAACCACAATCACAAAAGCAAACAAAAAAAGAGTAAGGGAATAAATAGATGTCAAGAAGCGATCAGTACTATGAAAAAAAGGAAAGTTTAAAGGGTCGAGTGGGAAAGAGAATGCTCATTTTACACGGAAGTGGTAGGGAAGGCCTCCCAGATGAGGTGACATTTGAGCAGAGACTTGAATGAAGACAGTAGGTCATGTAGAGATTTAGGGGCAAAGTACTTCAGGCAGAGGAAACAAGTGCAAAGGCCCTGAGGTGGGAACACACATGGTAGGTACAGGAAAGAGCAAAGAGTCAGGGTGACAAGGATGCAAGGGAAGTGGATTGACAGGAAAATCTTAGAGGCACTGTGACTCCTGGAGTAGGGGAAGGGAGGGGCCAAGAGAACCGACTGCCCCATCGCGTGCGTGTGTGTGTGTGTGTGTGTGTACCCCATCGTGTGTGTGTGTGTGTGTGTGTGCGCGCGCGCACGCTAAGTCACACCAGCCATGTCCGCCTCTCAGTGACCCTACAGACTGTAGCCCGCCAGGCTCCTCGGTCCGTGGGATCCTCCAGACAAGGACACTGGAGTGAGTTGCCATGCCCTCCTCCAGGGGGTCTTCCTGAAAGATCGAACCCGTGTCTCTAGAGTCTCCTGCATTGGCAGGCAGGTTCTTCACCACTAGCGCACCTGGGAAGCCCACCACATTGTATACTGATTGACACTTCAGTTCTCCATATATCTGCCTCTATGCAACCAAGATTGTACCCCATCTTTCTTATTTCCCCAGGACCTTTACCACAGATATTGCTGGAAGTTGAGGTAACCTGAGTTTATCTCTCCATTCCTGGTAATTTAAAGGAGCCATTAAGGCATGGCTACCGTGTTTTAATTTCCTTCTGTTTTTATGAAGCATGAAGGAGCAA